CACCCTATCCCCCCCCCCCTCTCTCTCTGTCTGTCTCTCTCTCTCTCTCTCTCTCTCTCTCTCCCTCTCTCTCTCTCTCTCTCTCTCTCTCTCTCTGTATGTGTGTGTTTTCTGTCTCTCGCACCTGTGTGTGTCTTTTTGGGGTGTTTGTGTGTGTGTGTGTGTCTGTGTGTGTGTGTATGTGTGAGTGTGTTTTGGATGTTTGTGTGTGTGTGTTTGTGTGTGTGCGTGCGCGCGCCATATGTGTATATGTGTGTGTATATATATGTGTGTGTGTGTGTGTGTGTGTGTGTGTGTGTGTGTGTGTGTGTGTGTCTGTGTGTGTGTGCGTGTGTGTGACAGTGTTAATTTGCGTCAGTTTGTGTAACTTGGGAAAGGAGGGAGACCTGTTCAAAATAACAAACACAAAAATTAAAATTAATCAAAAGTCCCTAAGCTCCAAGAATCGTAGTCTATCTCGACACTATATGACAAACTGTAAGAACGCCAAAATGATAGTTTCAAATCAAAATAACATTCATCAGTTACCTTAACAATGATCGTATCGTTGCCTCCTGGTTCAGTTGGGGGAAACATTGTTGCTTTTCCAGTTGGGTTGATTCTGAAAACAGTACAACCGAATTTTGATATAGACTAATGTTATTATTCTTATGTGTTTTGTTAGTATAGCAGCAGCAGCAGCAGCAGCAGCAGCAGCAGCAGCAGCAGCAGCAGCAGTAGTAGTAGTAGTAGTAGTAGTAGTAGTAGTAGTAGTAGTAGTAGTAGTAGTATCGTTTGTTTGTTTGTTTAGTATAGGATTTTACGGCGCTCGCAACTGCATAAGGTCATATGAGCGCGCGGGACACACCTAATACTTTTTCGTTGGTAGGAAATTTTGAATTTTGCCCGGGTGGCGGCCGAAGCCTACTCTTATCGATTTTAGACCACCAAGGGATCTTTAACGCGCGCAACTTGCACACGGGCCCTCCGAGATTTTTCGCCCTTGTCCGAGAAGGCTAGGTGTAGATCTTTCCTACCAGCAGATCAGGGGTGTGGCAGAAAGACAGCAGTTAGGAAGAGCCAAGGAGTAGCAGTAGAAAGGCTGCAGAAAGAGTCAGGAGCCCAGAGGAGGGGGCAAAGGAGGTGAGGGGGTGGGGGGTGGGGGCAGAAAGTGGAAATGAAAGCAGACAACAGAACATTGTTAGAGATCAGGAATGGGTGTGAAAGGAGACAATTTTAGAGAAGAAAATTGTTTGGTCGCTACCCGGAATCGAACCCGGGACCATTGAATGAGAGGCCAACACCTTAACCTCTAGGCCACGAGAGCCCCCTAGTAGTAGTAGCAGTAGTAGTAGTAGTAGTAGTAGAATCATTGGATGTATGTATTATATAAAGTCATGTCATCGAGACTCTGTTTTTCTGGGGGGGGGGGGGGATACGGGTGAGGGCAATATAAATTTAAGTGGTGTACGGCCGAAATTGTCTAAGACGGTTGTCCATTGTCGATGAAAAATAGCTGTGTTGGACAGGTAGCTGTCTTACACAGGGTCATTAATAAATAATGTAATAATACATAAATAACAGGTTTAAAAAAAAATAGAAATAAATAAATGCAACAGAGGAAATGGGAAGTGGCCATTTACACAAGAGATTGTCTATACAGCAGGTGGCCGACTGTATTACGCTTGACGCTGATTCTCAAACTTCCCCTTGTTCGGTGTGTTGATTTCCGGGAGGGAGGAAGGTGTCAATAAGACGAGTAAACGTGATATTATATGATTTTTTATATAAACCCATAGGGCATTTGTCTGTTGAGCTCGAGGGGGTTGGGGAAGGGGGGGGTGGGAGGGTGCGGTTAACATAGTATGTAAAACCATGAAATTTTATTCAAAATAACCACCTGTAGGTCATGGCCAGTAGGGTGAGTTTGGAGAGGACGCTTGTGCCCAGTACGAGACAGAAGAAGAGTCCCATGAGCAGCAGCTTGACCACTGCATTGACCGCTTTCCACACCTGTTGCTCGGACGACGAAGAGCTGGGAAGGTCACTGTCTGTCTGGAAAATGTCCCACCTGAATGGACAAAAGACTCTCTTAATCATT